GGCTTCCAAGCTTACTTTATCTGAATCTTTCTGAATCTATTCTCCATGCTATTAAACTGAGCACATTCCACATCGTTCAAAAGTAATTACACTTTTGTCTAGAGTGTAGGAGACTGCTCTCCCTAAACAATGCAATTCTCATTATTAGAACTGGCACAATAACCACACTGGTGTTAATACCGGTATGCATTATGCTATCCAATAACTTACGCTAAGTTTGATGTACAAAGGTAACCAGACATTTTTAAAGCTTATAAAAACCACCATATAAAAATAGGAATCTTTACCATAGCATAATTAAGGTCTTATTCTGTGACTTATTTTTAAATAGCACATGCATTTTTCTCTTTTTCTTCATAAGTTCTCTGAACAGTACTTCACACATAACATTATTCTAGTCACACAACAAAAATACATTACTAACGACTTTTAGATTATAAGCAAAATTTATATAAAGGGTATTTCAAGGCACAGCTATAATATAGCAATTAAAATTATTTTGGGTAAATAAAGAATCACAGGATTTGACAGTGAGCCTAAGCCCCTCTCTCTCTCTGTCATGTGCACTGAATAAATTATTTGAGTGTTCAAGTTTGCTTTTCGTATGTTGCAGCTTTGCAATTGCTATACTTTATTCTCTGCTATATTTCCAAATTTTATACTATGTCAACTTTTCCCTTTGTTATGAACTTCAGAAAGAAAGTGATTCACACTGAACATTGCTTTATGATAAAGTGTCCCTGAAAGGTTTCAACACCTTAACATACATCAAGTTTATCACTAAACCTATTGTAATATATCCCCAGAGTTCCTTAACAATTCCAGGAAAGTGTTATCAATATACACAATAAATGAGATATGAAAACATAACATCATATTTCCAAATCAAATAGTTCTTTAAATGTCAGAAAATTACACCCGTAGTATTTATTTCATATGTCATTCAGCTATCTGTAGAGTGGATAACTCGAATTAATTTTTAATAAAATATTATATTGTTAAAATAAATACCTACATTTTTAAAACCAATCTTGGGGAGCAGCCACTCTACACTTATATAAAACTGTTCACTAAACTCAAGAAAGACCTGAGTCACAAAGAAAGATTGGCTGAGATAAGAGTAGGCCTTTTGTGAAAAACAAAAAAACCTGATAATTCAGAAACCACAGGTGGTCAAGACTTTCATTTCACATCACATTTGACACTAGAACAACAATCACACTAACAGAAGTCACAAGATAGAAAGTGAGCCCCACAGCGGCCACCATAGAGTCCCCCGGCTGCCTCTAATGCTCTCCTTGACTTCCCTTCATTGATTCCCTCTGGTGCTCATAGCTAATCCTGTTGATTGACATGAATACATGTTCTAAACAGTTCTTCACATCATGAAATAAATCCATCTGTATCATAACTATTGTTAGAAATGAGCCAGAAATTAGTGATTCTTGCTTATCTCTGGAACTCTGAAGTGAGAGCCTCAGCAAACCCATGTTACAAAATTATTTTAAAAAATTGAAAAAAAAAGAGCAGAGCCAGAAGAGTAAATCAGACCTTCCATAAAAACAAAACTGAGGACTGCCTTTCCATTCATGTCAGAATCAGACTTGCCTTTTTACCTTTTTGAAGATTATATGAGAATCAAATTTTGTGATTAATTGCTTTGCAAGCTCAAGAGTGCTTCAGAGAAGGAACCAACAGTCTGTTCAGACGTACAACTATCTGAGTCTCATCTTATATTGATTAGAAATCAGAGAGTTCTTTATAAATATATGTATATGATATGCTTAATACAGTTCATCTATAGTGTACTCTGCATAGTAATAAAACCTTCTAAGAGGAGAAGGACACAGAGTACTCATATCAGTTCCACCTGTGGGAGTGACTCTTAGTTAGGAACTTAGTTTATTTCTCAAAAATATTAAGGAAACAAACACAACTCCAGAAAGAAAAAATTGTGTCCTTACCTGACCCAATTCAAAACATTAGCACTTGCATACAAACATTTTTACTCAACATTTTTATATGGCAGCAATTATTAACTATACAGAACTTTGACCTCAGGAAATATTTTCCAACTTGAATTTTATACTGAAAGCATCTCTCTCTAACTTTGAGTTATCATTCAAAAGATTACTCATTGATTTTACTTTGTCTCTAAATTATGTAGGCAATACAAAAATGTAGACCTCTTAATAGCTTTCTTTTTTATTTAAGAATGTAGCATAAATGTCACACATAAATCGGCAATTAAGTCGGCAAAGTTTTTTCCCCTTCCAATTGAATTATCCTATCTAATAAAAGAGAAACATGGTAATTAGTGTACGACCGCTACCCTTCCCATTAGCTAATCAGGGCGATATGCAAATAAACTGCCAGCAAATATGGCGGCCGGCAGCCAGGAAGCTGGAAGTGAACATGAGGCTTGCTTGCTTCAGTGACGGAGGACTCCAATGTTCCCTGCCTGCCACTGCCGGCCTCTGAGCTGCAACTCTAGGCAACTATGTTACAAGCTCAATCCCCAGTAGGGGGTGAGGGGGTGTGTAGAAGGCAGCTGATCAATGATTCTCATCCTTGATGTTTCGATCTCTCTCTTCCTTTCCTTTCCTCTCTGCAATCAATGAAAG